GGGTGCGAGCGATGAGGGGTGCGAGCGGCGACGCTGATCGAAGGAAGTCAAAGGATGCGCGGAATGCCTGCTCACCGGCCTGCAACGCACTTCGTGACGGTTTGCTGGAGCGAGAAGACCGTCTACACCTTGCGTGCCGTCCAGAACGCAGCTGTGTACTCGTGCCGCAGCATCGAGAGCGGGTTGGTCGTGTAGCACGTCTTGACCTCGCGCTCGTCCTGCGTGGACGATTTCAGCCGTCGCACGACGTTTGCAGCACAGAGGCAGGCAGTCGAAACGCACTGATAGCTCGAACCCGATCTTGCGAGCCAGTGCCTTGACGTCCTCGAGCGGCAGCTCGAGCGAACTCGAGTCTCGATCCGCCTCGAAGTGCCACAGAGTTGGTCCTGCAAGCGGCGCGTCAGTTTGAGCGCCTGCTTGCGATGGGAAAACGCACCGAGGTTGATCCAGAGGCCGCCTGGCTTGAGCAAGCCGTGGATGGTCTCGAGGTACGCGACGACGTTACGCGCGGTATCGAGGAAGAAGCACGTCACGCAGACGTCCCATGAGCCTGGCAGAGTGTCTAGTCAGCTAGAGTTCATTCGGAAGAAGCAAACGGCGGAAACGCACCCGGCGCATCGCCGTACACCTCGAGAAAGTCGCCTGCCGCGAAGGAGAACTCCGCTTCACCGCCGGCAATGTCGTTCGGCGCGACGTCGGGTATTAGGCAGGGGTGGAGAAGGTCTTCCCGCGAACGAATGTTGCTGAAACTGTGCAGGTACGGGTGAAGGGTGAACTCGCTTGGCGTCGAGCAGTTATTGAGGATGAAGGATGAGGCGATGAGCTGCAAGTTGGATTCCCTCAGTGCAGGCACACTCCTGCAGCTGAGATTAGCGGGACTCACCATGTGCAACGAGAATTCGTTTGCCTGGCAGGAGAAGCCCGCCCTTACTATCTCCCACGCCAGCCGACCGAGACCTGCGCCGGGCACGAGAACCTTGACATTCGCTCTGTACAGCGCGAGCGAGTCAGCCTGGAGGACCTGCGCGATAAGCCAGCAAAAACGCACTTTTCGCTCGGCGACAGCTGTGCGAAGCAGCTTGTGAGCGAGTCGAGGATCGGTTGATACGCCGTGTCGCGCTCGTTTCTTCCCTGAGGCGCATGCAAAGAGCGTGAGTCGGCAGAAGGGCACGCAGATTCGGCTAAACCCACCGTTTCGCTCCAATCCCGCACGCACTGTCGCAAGGTGCTGCGCAAACGCTGCGAGAACGCGCAACAGTATCAGAAGCCTGTGATACGTTTGAAGATAGGCGTTTGCGCACCTCATGGTCGGCGTCGGTCGGCGCAGGCGCGTTAAGAGCAGCGTCCTCGGGCGGCGGGAACGGGTTCGCCTCGATCATGCGCTGAACAAGTTCAGCGTTGACTTCCAGCTTCTCGTCTACCTGTGGAAGAACTCGATTAACCAAGTGAACAGCGAGATCAGGAGGGAAAGGGGACGAACTTCTCGAAGAAGCGAGTTGTAGTCGGGTAGCAAGTCCCGATGCCGCTTCGGTAGGGCGTAGAAGTCCGCCCGTCGTCGTTGATTCAATGAGAGTGCAGCTCGTCGGTACAAATCAAACGTAGCCTGAACTTGCGCCTGGTGAGCAGCCTCGTCGAAAGAGTCGGAGGCAGCAGGCGGATCTGAGTCGTGGGAGTGGCCGTGAGCGTGTGCGTGACCATGAGCATGGTCTTGAGGATGCTCGTGATCCATCTTCAGCCCCGATAAGCGCAAGCGAGTGACAAGTCGCTCCTCAACAGGGTCGGGAGGAGGTTCCCCTCGTCCACAACAGCTCGCTCGCTCCGAAACGCTCGAAAGACTGGCAGATAGGCTCTGTCACACCCACTGAGACAGACCGTACCCCTCCTGCCCCCGCCAGCTCGTCCGCGTCCTCCCCACTTCTTCATCGTCTCCGAAACTCTCGACGACTGCAATGGCCGACGCCTCGCCTCCGCCAGAGTGCTACATCCAGAGCTTGCTCGATGTCGACTTGTACAAGCTGTCCATGTGCGTTCAACCCCCCAGCGCGCCCCGTCGTGGCCCACAAGCTGATGCGCTCATCGAGACGATCCCGGGTCAACAGGCAGTATGCGGTCCTGGAAGCGTATCCCGGTGTGAACGTCAAGTACCGCTTCACGAACCGCAGCGGCACCAAGTTCACCCGACCGATGTATGACGCCGTCCTTGCCGCTATCAAGCGTGAGTCTCGCTTGACCCCGTTGACTCGAAGGCGAGGCGGTTCTGTTCGCTCAGACAGTCGCTGATAGCTTGAGTGTGGCATGCAGACCTCGGAACGCTCCGCCTCCAGCCCGAAGAACGCGCCTTCCTCGAACGCCACTGCCCCTACTTCCCCAAATCCTACCTCGACTACCTTTCCAACTTCCGCTTGCGACCAGACGAGCAGGTCAAGGTCGAGTTTGTGCCGAACGGAGAGAAAGATGCGGATGGCACCGAGTGGGGAGGGTTCGACCTCGAGATCCACGGCCTGTGGACCGAGACGATCCTGTACGAGGTGCGCTCGCGGCGGGGCTAACGAGGTTGCACGGCGAGCTCGCTTACCAACAGCTCGTTTGCAGGTCCCGTTGATGTCGATCATTTCGGAGGCCTACTTCACGCACGTCGACACCAAGTGGGATTACGTCGGACAATACGGTGAGTTGGTTGACATCTGGCTGGGTGTCCGTGATTCGCTCGCTCACAACGCGGATAACGCTCGCAGAGAACGCTCGCCAAAAAGGACTCGCCCTCTACCGCGCCGGCTGCATCCTCTCCGAGTTCGGCTCGCGCCGCCGACGAACGTACAAGGCCCACGACATTGTCATGCGCGGGCTGATCAAGGCGAATGAGGAATGCGGGAACGGCAAGGAGGGCAAAGGCGGCAAGTTGAGCGGGACTTCGAACGTGCACTTTGCGCAGAAGTACGATTTGGCGCCGATTGGCACGGTGGGTACAGCTCTAGGTTTAGGTTAACACACAGTGCAGCGCAAACTGACCGGACGGACTGCAGATAGCCCACGAATTGATCATGGGCATCGCGGCGCTGGAAGGGTACGAGGGCAGCAACGGGCGCATGATGGACATGTGGGAGAAGGTGCGCCTGTCAATACAGAGCTGCGGCGCGGCAATCGCAAGGAGAAAGCCCATTGACGCGCACGATTCGCAGATCTACCCGGACGGCTCGCTCGGCATTGCTTTGACCGACACCTTCACGACCAAGCCGTTCTTCGACGACTTTGTCTCCAACCCCGAGCGCGCACGACGGTGGAAAGGATTGCGGCAAGACTCGGGCGATCCATTCAAGTTCATCCCGGTCGCGAAGGAGGCGTTCCAAAGGGTCGGCGCGGATCCTAGCAAGAGTGCGTACTTTCTCGCCTCCGTCGCATGAGCCTGCGACTGACGGAATGCTTGTCCGCAGAAATCGTCGTCTTCTCCGACTCGCTCGACGTCAAGCGCTGCCTCGAGCTCAAGAAGGCGTCGGACAAAGCCGGCATCGGCTGCTCCTTCGGCGTCGGCACAGACTTGACGAATGGTGCGCGAAGTTGCTTTACCGTTCTCGAACTCGAGCTGACCCTGCTCCTGCTTCGGCAGACTTCCGCCATGTCGAGCAACCTGAGCAGCAGGAGCACCTTGGAGACGGGCCAATCCGGACAGAGGGTGCGAAGAGCAAGGCGGTGCGTTCCCTTTCATGTCCTTGCTCGGGAGAAAGCCGCTAAGCCTCCGCCGTACGCTCCTTCAGCTCAACATGGTCATCAAGGTGCGTTTGCGCTTCTGTGCTAGCCCAAAGGGCTTTACTACCGCCTTAGTGACTGACCTCCTCTCTTTCTCAGCTCTACTCGATCAACGACCAGTTTTGCGTCAAGATCTCGGACGAGTTGACCAAGGTGAGCAAGCGCAGACTGCCGACTCCGACTCGAGTCCCCTCCTGGCCGAAAGCCGGGAAGGCTTGGATGCGATCGAGCGCTCAGTTCGTCGATGCTAACTACTGCTCTGACAGAACACCGGCGACCCCGAAGCCGTCCGCCTCGTCAAGCGCCGCTTCGGCCTCGAAGACCACGGCGCCGAAAGCGACGCCGCAAAATGGGGACCGACCGTCTAGCACGCTCGCATCTCACGCTTGTCGTCTCTCTCGCATGTCGCTTGCCGTCACTACTGATTCGCAATACCTAGCCTCGCAATCCTAGACCCAGCCGTACTCTGCCCGCTTGACCTGCAAAAGTACACCAACCGCAGAACGCATGCGACGCCTGCGATGTGCGCATCTAGATCTTGTGACGCATCTGCTTCGAGGCAAGTTGGGCGAAGCGTGCTTGCGGCTTGCCTGTTGCGAAGCGCTCGGCGCCGGCGAAGACTTCGCGGGTGTTGCTGCGTGGCACAAAGACTTCGTCAGCGTCGAACGAGGTCGTCGGAGAGCCAAAGGAGGAACGAGGAGCTCACGCCTGCTCGGGGTCGGGCAAGGCAGCGCGGATGAGTTGCTTCGACTTGACGATCTGCGCGTCCTCCTCCCGTCAGTCTCGCTCTGGTCCCAAAGCCACGAAGAACGAACGCACCGCGTCAAGCTCGAGACCGGCAAGCTGCTGCTCGAGCGCGGCGAGGAGCGCCTTGCGGAAAGACGTGTCGGGCTGCGGCGGGAAGAGGCCGTTGAAGAAGCCGTTCTGGTGGAGCTCCTGCGCCGAAAGCTTCTTGCCAAACAGAAGAGCCCTGCACAAAAACTGTAAGCGTTGCGCATGAGGAGGAAAGAGGGAAGGGGGACGCACTCGTTCGCCTTTGCGAGACCCATTCGCTGGACGAGGCTCTGCGATGCGCCGCCCTCGCAGACGAGGGAGATTGCTGAGAAAGGCGTGAGGAAGTAGGCGTTCTCGACGGCGTAGATGAAGTCGCAGTACTGTTGCGAGATTCGTTAGGAAGGCGACGGGGTCAGCGGCAGGTGAAGACGCACGCCTAGCAGAGCTGCAAAGCGAGGTCTGTCAGTATGAGCACAAGCGAGATGGGCGACGAGTGGAAGGTACCCGCAGACAAGCCGATCGCCGGACCGTTGAGTCCAGCGACGAGAATTTTGCTGTGCCGGTAGAAGGCTGCCGCGCAAACCCGATGTCAGCGTAGCCTTTCGTGGAGGGTCGAAGGTATGCTCACATCGCGTAAGGTCGAGGTTACCGCCGCTCAGCCGCTCAAGCGCCGAGACCTGCGAGCTGGACAATGAACTCCAGTCGGCGAAAGACAAGGAAAAGCGACGAACCCTAGCGTCCTCGCCGCTGAAATCTTCCCGAGTAGCCTTGACATCAGCTCCAGCCTGTAGAATTTGTATGGGTTTGCAAGGTCAAGTGTACGGTGAGAGGGAGAAGACGGACGCTGAAGAAGTCGCCCTTTCCGGTGAGGACGGTCACGAAGACTTCGGGCTTGCGGTCGATGTCCTGTCGACACACGTAGCGAGTCAGTTATAGTTGTGAAGGAAAGCATAATAGTGCGGTGTACCTGCAAGATGGACGACAACCGCTTGTCTGCGAGGAGGAAGCGAGGAAACGGTGAGTCGACGTCTCCGCGCATCAGAAGTCAATCCGCACGCACAGAGTGTCGAGTCGAGAGCATTCTTCTTCTGCGGCTGATTCTGCGTGCGGACGAGAGGATGAGGTGAGCGAACTTGTCGGCGGGGAAAGCTGGCGCAACGAGGAGGAAGCGGGACGCACGAGGGTGACGATGGCGAATGGCGCCTGGATCTCGACGAGGATTGCGTCTGCGGGTGCCATTGTCGTCGTCGTCGTCAAGTTGCGCGGTGGAGAAGAAGAGAGCGAAAGTCGGACGGTTGAGCAAGCCGGCTCCGAAGGATCGCTGCGGTTTGTGGGGCGGAGCCAAGTCCGGTAGCAAGCCGGCAGCGACGACGGCGACATATACATAACGAAGTGAACAATGCAGGCGAGCGATAGTGTGTACAACAACGGGTACAGCGAAGGCAGGCTCAGGTCGAGATGAGGCCGATGAGGCGGAAGTTGACGTTCTTGCTCGAAGGATGAGACGACTTGCTGGCCGGCAGCAACTCGAACGTCACGTCGTGGTCGCCTGGCGAGACGTCCTTGAAGACCTCCGTCGGGACGCCGATGCTCCAGCCGAGATCCCACCAGCCGGCGAGCTGCTTGCCGCGAGAACGGTCGCCGTCGAGGTCTGCGAAAGGCGAAGGATTGTCAGCGCCGAGCACCCGATTGAACGAGGTCAAGAGCTGCACGCACAAACGAGAACGTCCCCGAGGTCGTAGAAGCGCGAGTGCAGCCAGTCCGCGAGGATAGTCCCGCCCGCACCGACTTGAACGCGAAAAGTCACGCTCGAGCCGGGCTTGCTCGCCGCTAGGTACTGCTTGTCGCGCGCCCAGGCGAGCTTCGACCATCTGTCACGTGATCGTCGTCAGCGGGAGAGTAGGGAGTGAGAAGATGGCGAGGACGCACCCCTTGTTCTTGACCGGCTCGACAAGCGACTTCGCGTTCCCGACCTGGATGCACGTAGGCTTCGGCAACTCCCACATGCCCTCGTCGACCGTATGGCCCTTCTTGTCGAACGAGAAAGGCGTAAAGAGGCTTCGTGCGGGGAGAGGACGGACCAACTCGTCCTTCCGAGGAGGATAGTCGAGTAGCGGATCCACGTCGCCGTCCCTTCGACCACCTATGAGTCGCAGACCGCTTTGATGAGCGTTCAGGCGGGACGTGGCGGCGGCCATGACTTCCTGCTGGGCGAGACAGGCCTGCTCTTCGAGGTAGGCGAGGAGGACATCGGCGAGGAGTTCATGACCTCGATCGTTTGGGTGGTGCAGATCGGGGAGGAAGAGGTCGTCGATCTTTTTCAACGCTGTGCCAGACGTAGAGCCGGACGAGAGGCCGTGTACGGGACCGAAGAGCGCGTGCTTGACGGAGAGGACGGGGATGTCGTAGAAGTGCGCGGCGGGGAGATGGTCGTACTCTGCGTTCGCCGTCGCCGCCGTCGTCGAAGCGAGTAACAAGCTCGCCGCCTCGAGCGCGATAATCGCCGGCTGACTCGGCAAAGACCTGAGCGTCCTGAGCAACTTCTCGAAATCGCGTGTCGCCTGTTCGCCTCCAGGCCAGACATCGTTCACCCCGCTCTCGACAATAACGAGGTCCGGCCCCTTGCCCCAGTCGAGGTTCTTCCGCCGGAGGGTCATCTCTTCCTCGAAGCAGTAGGCGAAGAAGGCGGACCCGGTCGCGCTTTTCGAGCCGTTGATCAGCTGCGTCGAGGGGCGGCGTCGAGAACCGGCGTGGCTGCTCTTTGCGCGGCCGGGCTTCTTCTTGCTCGACTTGCGCTTCGCAGCCCGCTTGGCGAGACGAAGTCGGTGAAAAGCTGCCTTCGAGTCGCCATCCTCCGCTGCGTCGCGCTCATGTAGTCGAGGACGAGAGGAAGGGGGAAAGAGCCGAGAAGGCGAGCTGGGTACAAGGTCGCGGTCGCCCTCCATCGGGAACGTCCGCTGGAACCACCGCAAGACATGAGCGTGCCAGCACTCGGTCTTCTGGTCGACGCCTCGGCAGTTCGAGACTGTCTTCCGAGTCATTAGCATGCGTCGCAGGGAGGAAGAGCGGGCGGAACGCACCTGATCCGCCGAGAACTAGGATCCGAAACGGTTCCTCCCCCTCAAACTTCTGCACCTCGCCCTCGGAACCCTCCTTGTGCCGCTTCAATCCATAGAGCGCACTCCGCATTGCGCGCTTCAAGACTCGTCGGACTTCTGTCCCTGTCCCGGCGAAGAGAATCGAGTGGTCGAGGATGTCGGGGTGGAGAGGGGAGGAAGCGGCAGAAGGTGGCGGTCGATACTTGGCGCATATCGAGGATGAAGAGGCGGAGGTGACGAGGGTGGGGGAGCAGGGTTCGCAGGTGAGAGGGAGGAACGGCTTGACGAGCGAGTTGGACTGCGTTCGGGCGGAGCCAACCGACTCTCTCTCGTCTTCGAGGTCCGTCGCCGTCTCGACGTCGTCCACATCGTCATTCTCCACCCCTTCGGCGTCCGCCAAAGCCTCCTCCCCTCCCTCTTCCGCGACTTGCACCTCTTCCTCCTCCTCGAGTTCCGCCCTATGCTTCACCGGTTCCAGATGCGCATCAAAGTCAAAGTTGGGATGCTCGCCCAGCTCTGCGAGTCCCGCAAGACTGGATCTCGAGAGTGCCGGGTCGGGCGGGTGGTTCGAGCGGCCGACGAGGAGGAAGACGATGCAGAGTGCGAGAGCGGTCGCTGGCAGGGCGAACGACGGGCGCAGGCGGAGTCTCGCAATCGGTCTGCCGGCGCACTGGTCAGCTCTTCTAGCGCGCCGATAAGTCGTGCTGCGAGAGCGATGAGATGAAGCGACGCACGTCTTGTTGTCGCGGAGAGCGTCGTCGAGGAAGGCCGTCGACAGCGTGCGCGACCGTCGCCAGCTCTTGCTGTCGCGGCGAGCCATGCATCAGAAACACACAAAGCAACGACAAACGAGCACGAAGCAAGTCCGCCAAGGAATCTCGCAAACCGAGCAGGATCCTCTCGTCGCGCTCGCGTTGGTGCGCGGGGTGGTGAAGTGCTCTCCTTGGCGACGACGAATGCGGGACAACGCACACGATGCAAGAGACACACACACACACAGTAGACACTCGGACAACCCGGACAAAACGATGCGAGGGTACGGCAAAGGGAGAGAGAGCGGGAGAGAGGAAGGGGAGGTTGCGTCGCACAGCGGCAATGGCGAGAGTCGCTCGGGGAGGGACGGAGGGAGAAGGGGAGAGGATGACATGATAGGCGAGAACGTAGACGTACAATGCGAGCGAGCGGAACGAGGGGAAGACGAAAGGGTATGGTCGAGTGCCGACGCGAGAAGGTATGCACAAGTTGTTGGCGCGTCGGCGTTCGTCGCGGAGACAAATGTACAGTCGAAGGGTGCGAGTGACGGGCTGGCGGAGGATTCATTGCTGGGGGTCGTTCTGGCGAGAGTTTGACTTGGCGGCAAAGACGCCTGATGAACCGCCAGCGCAATGTGTGCAAGATGAGGTTAAGGGTGGGTCAGGAAGATGGACGTGGCAGGAGACGGACCAGCTCGTCTCTGCAGCGAGGAGAGACGTTAGCGCAGTATTTGGGCGAGTTGAAGCGAGACGAGCGCACCTGCAAGACCACCTTGTTGATCGTGGCGAGCAAGTCTGGCTTGCGAAGCGGCTTGGTAAGGTACTCGTCTACGCGACAAGCCGTGTCAGCCACCGCGACCTCGGACAAGCCGAGACCCGCAACGCACCCATGCCAACCTCGATGCACTTCTCTCGGTCGCCCAGCATCGCGTGCGCCGTCAGCGCCACAATCGGTAGCCGCTCGAGGCCGTTCTCGCGCTCAAACTTGCGGATGATCTGCGTCGCTTCGTGGCCGCCCATGATCGGCATCGACAAGTCCATCAGGACGACCTGTTCGTTCGCGTGCGTCAGTACGAGCGTTGGAGAATGGAGAGGGAACGGCGCACATCGTAGAAATTCTTCTTGACCGCCTCGAGCGCGAGAGCACCGTTCTCGACCACCTCAGTCTGGTGTCCAGCACTCTCGAGGAACTTGAGCGCGACCTTCTGGTTGACGATGTCTGCGAGGGAGACCGGTGTCAGGCATCGCCCAGTAAGACAGGCACGGTGCACGCACTGTCTTCGGCGAGGAGGACCTTGAACGAGGCGTCGCCGCCCCGCTCGGAAGGTATCCGGTTGCTCGCCTCGAGCGCCGGCAAGAGCGCATTGCACATGTCCTGCGCGTTTGTCGGCGACTCGACGCAGTTGGCAATGCCAAAGTCGAGGCAGTACTGCGGAACGGAAGCGGGTCAGTCCGTGGTGCAAGGGGAAGAGGCCAGATGAGCGCACCTTGAGGTTGAGCTGCGGGATCTGCGGGGTGACGAGGACGAGGGGGATGTAGCGGAGGTGTTCGACGTCGCGGAGACGCTCGACGACCGAGAGCTGGTCGACGAGGACCGTGTCGAAGTAGCCGGTTTGCGAGTGGTCGAGAAGACACGCTTCCTCGAGTGTATCGACGACGGTGATCTCGAGTCCGAGCTGCTCGACAGACTCGATGACGCTCGGGTCATGGTGCAGAGTGTCAATGAAGAGGATGCGCCGGCCAGGGTGCGGGATGAGCGTCTTCTGCCGGACCTGGTCGAGGTTCCACTCGCCGATCCTGCACTGGATCGTGAAGTAGAACTGCGAGCCACGGCCGAACTGCGACGTGACCCAGAGCTCGCCGCCCATGAGCTGCACGAGGCGCTTCGAGATGGTAAGGCCGAGACCGGTGCCGCCGTACTTGCGAGTCGTCGAGCCGTCAGCTTGTGCGAAGGTGTCGAAGATGAGGTTGAGCTTGTCGGGCTTGATGCCGATGCCGGTGTCGCTGATGCAGAACTCGAGCTGGTACGTCTTCTCCTCGAGGTCGGCTGCACCGAGGCGGCACGAGAGGGCAACCTGGCCGCGCTGGGTGAACTTGATGGCATTGCCGACGAGGTTTGTGATGACTTGTCGCAGGCGGAAGGGGTCGCCGACGAGGAGGTCGGGGATGTCACTCTCGACAGAGTACATCAGGTCGAGCCGGCTCTGCGTCGCTTTGACCGCGAGCGTCTTGAGGATGCCAAAGACGGCCGAGCGGACGCTGAAGGGGATCTGCTCGACCGTCATGCGACCCGCCTCGATCTTTGAGATGTCGAGAATGTCATCGATGATGAGGAGAAGCGAGTTGGCGAGGTTCGAGACGATCATGAGGTTCTCGCGCTGCTGGCGCGTGAGGTCCGTCTCGAGGGTGACGCCCGTCAAGCCGATGATGCCGTTCATGGGCGTCCGGATCTCGTGCGACATGTTGGCGAGGAATTCGGACTTGGAGCGGTTCGCCAATTCGGCCGCCTCCCTCGCCGCCGTGTTCTTCTGCAGCGAGTCGCGAAGCGAGAAGACCATCTTGTTGATCTTGCTCTTGAGCGAATCCATCTCACCGCTCGCCTCGACCGTGACGAACGAGCTGAAGTCGCCTTCCGTCGCGGCTGCCGAGATCTGCGCAAAGGCGCGGACCTGCGAGGTGAGGTTGAGCGCCATCGTGTTGACGTTGTTGCTGTGGGCAAGAGAGGGTGAGTAGACCATCTCTAGCGTTGGGCGGAACGGCGGACGCACGTGATCTCCTGCCAAGTCCCCTCGATGTTGTCGACCTTGGCCGTAACACCCAAGTTACCCTTCGTGCCGACCTCGTGCGCAACGCGGGTAACCTCGGAAGCGAACGTCGCAAGCCGGTCGACCATCTCGTTAATGGTGACGACAAGCTGGAGAACCTCGCCGTTCGCCTCGATCGTGACCTTCTGGCTCAAATCTCCGCGAGCGACTGCGGTCGTGGCTTTGGCGATGCTTCGGACTTGGTCTGTGAGGTTGCCGCACATGACGTTGACCGTGTCGACCTGTCCAACGGAAGCGAGGTCAGCGAGATCCTCACGGGCGAAAGCGAAGCAGGGAACGCACCAGCGACTTCCACTCGCCCGAGACGTTGCTGACGTAGGCTTGACCACCGAGCTGACCGTCCGTGCCGACTTCCTTGGCGACGCGAGTAACTTCGGCGGCGAAGATACGGAGCGAGTCGACCTGTCGCACGTCCGGTCGTCAGCGAGTCCCATCTGGCGAAGGAGGATGCGAACGCACCATCGAGTTGACCGTGAGCTTGAGGTCGAGCATCTCACCCTTGACCTCGACGTCAATCTTCTTCGACAAGTCGCCCTCGGCAACAGCCGTCGTGACCGCCGCAATGGACCTAACCTGCTGCGTCAAGTTGCTCGCCATCTGGTTGACCGAAGCGACCAAGCTCGACCACTCCCCCTGCACGCCCTCGACATTCGCCGTCCCTCCAAGTTGACCCTCCGTCCCGACTTCGAGCGCGACACGCGTGACTTCAGCTGCGAACCGCCGGAGTTGCGCAACCATCGAGTTGACGGTCATCTTGAGCTCTTGGATCTCGCCAGACGCTTCGATGTTGACCGTCTTGCTCAAGTCGCCGTTCGCGACGGCTTTCGTGACCGAGGCGATTTCGCGCACTTGGAGGGTGAGGTTGGCCGCCATCGAGTTGACGCTGAACTGTTCACCGCATGGAAACTTGATCAGTGGTCGCGCAAAGGCACTAGAGGATTGGTACGCACAGTGAGCTCCCGCCACGTTCCCTCAACACCATGCACGATCGCCTGTCCACCCAATTGTCCGTCCGTCCCGACCTCCTTCGCGACACGCGTTACTTCGGCTGCGAAGACTCGCAGGCGCTGGACCATACCGTTGACCGTGGACTGCGGGTAGAGGGGACGTCAGTCTTTGCCTGCAAAGGCGGAAAGGGAGGAGGAGCGGGCGCACCTTGAGGTCGAGCATCTCGCCTTGGACTTCGGCGTCGATGGTCTTTGACAAACTGTGCGAGCAAGCAGGAAGTAAGTTCGAGAATTCAGGCAAGAGGAGCGAGAACTACTCACTCTCCGCTGGCGATGGCAGACGTGACGATGGCGATGGATCTGGCGCGCCGACTAAGCGTCAGGGCATTCCTCATTGGGAAGAAGGGGAAACGCACCGGATCTGGACGGTAAGCTGACTGGCCAAAAGGTTGACGGTCTCGGTGACTGTACCCGCCCAAAAAACCGATCAGCCTCTTCCTCCCATTCTCGCAAGCAAGAGAGGAAAACGCACGGGTTCGCCAGGTCCCCTCAACACCCGTCACGACCGCCTGCCCACCCAACTTTCCGCGCGTGCCGACATCGAGCGCGACACGGGTTACTTCGCTCGAGAAGAGGCGGAGCTTGTACACCATCTCGTTGAGGGTTGTCTGTCGGGCGAAAGGAGATGTTAGTAAGGGTGGAGAAGGAGAGGAGGAAGGAGGACGCGCCTTCAAGACGGCCATCTCGCCCTCGACTTCGGCGTCGATCGTCTTCGTCAAGCTGCGCGCGAGCGAGCGAGCGGGTCAGTGACAAGCTGCTTCGGAGATGGAATCGGGCGCAACGCACTCTCCCCGCGCAATGGCGGAAGTGACGACCGCTATCGACCTGTACTCCTCGAACCTGGTCAGTCCCCGCTTTTTCGCCACCTTCTGATGCGCCCACTCACCGGACCTCGTTGTCGTGAGAGAGCTGAGCCCGGTGCAGCTCTTCCGCATGAAGGACCTTGAGCGCCTGGATCTGGTCCTCGCAGTTCTTGCGGACCTGTTCGACCGAGTCGCCGGGGACGAACGGTCGACGAGTCGACATCTTGGGTGGTGCGCAACCCGCTGCAGCTGCCTCGACTCGCCCATTCGGATCAGCTTCGTCGAAGCCGTCCACGCTGCGAGACTTGGCACCCGAAACCGGCTCCTCCGCGGCCCTCAACCGATCCGCAATCCTCGACAAACTCGCGACGATCGCATCCGTCTCTCCCGGTTTCCCCATCGGCGTCGGGAGAAAGTTGGCAGGTGCGGCATGGCTCTGCGCGAGGTTGTCGAGGTGGTGCCGCACGCTCGCTGGGTCCGACTCGAGCGCCGTCAGGAGCGAGAGGACAAAGGTGGGGAATGTGTGTACGGGTGTCGAGGACGCGAGAGGCTCGGACATGGTGTCCATCGCGAGCGGGGACGCGTCGAGCGAGGAAGTCGTCGTCGCGGTGGGTGGTGGGGCAGACAAGCCGCCAAAGAAGGGCGAGGGGGTCGAGAGGCTGGGTTCGCACGGCGGCGAAGGCCACGACAGAGTGCTGATGGACGTCGCTGGTGTCGAGAGCGCGGCGGACGAGGTCGACGAGCCGGAGGTTAGGTGTGTGAGCGGGGGACGCGAGGAGTCGAAGGCGGGGTCCTCGGTGAAGGGCACGGGCGAGGTGGGCATACAGCTGGGCGTCGTGTGTGGGTTGCTGAGTAGCCTGGTCTGCTAGTCCCGAGTGAAGGTGGTGTTCGAGGGTGACCTCGAGTCGCGGGAGGAGGGGGTGGGAGTCGCTAACGTTCGCGCGCGGTCGGGGCGAGCTGGTGTGCGTGTGCGCGGGCTGAGCGTGTGCGAACGAGCGTGCTCTGCCGTGCCACCAGGCGCAACTAGTCGTGGCCTGAGCGTGGAAAGCGAACAAAGCGAGAGAGGAGGAGAGTCGTGGGCACGGCGTCTTCACCTCGCTCTGCGGGTTCCTATGGTCTCTCTTGGGTCTCTCTATGGCTGATTTGCAATGCACAAGAGGCTGTGGTAATGAAGGAGTACGGGGAGAGTTGGCGAGGAGGGAAGGTGAGCGAGTCCCGCGTGGCATCAAAACCCGCAGCTTCTCATCGAGCGAGCAAGCGAGGTCGTCCAGCTGTGAAGAGCGCGCCCGCAAGTGGTGCAGCGGGCGCAGCGGCAGCCGTTGGCAGCGCGAGCGAGTTGGAGTCGAGCGCAATTGTGCGGTCGACTGTGCCGATACCCGCGATCTCATCAGCGATTGCGAGCCGACTCTGTGCAGTCTCGACCGCGAAGAGCGAACACGCGCAAGCCGGCGGCAGTTCCGCTCCGCGAGTTTGAGCAGGAAGAGAGGGAGGGACAGCGGCGGCGGGGTAGAGAGCGCGCGGGAGTAGCAGTTGAGTGTGATCGCGTAGAGATCCGCCTTCGCTTACTGGGCCACTCGTGAGAGCGTGAGATGGCGCGGCGAGAGCGAAGGCCAAGCGAGCACTGGGTGGGCAACGTGAACGAGAGCTCTGCGTCTCTCGCCGTCTCCAACTCGCTCAGACTGCGACTTGCTGCTCACGAGCGACTGCTGGACTACGCTCACGACCGCCTCCGACCAAACAGCGACTGGCCCAACCGCGAGCAGCGACCCCCCGAGGCGACCTCGCCAACACCCTCTCAGTCTCTCCGCTCGCCCAACACCTACACAGGTCGGGCGCAGCGCACAGGCATGGTGTACTACGTGAGTCGCACTCGCTGCACCTATCCCGCGCACCCGGACGAGCCAAGTTGCCTTGGGAGGGCCAGCGGGATACCTCGTCCCCCTCCCGCCCGCTGATCCGCCCCGTTCTTCTCGCCTGACAGGTCTGCCCAAACTGTGGCAACCGTACCGCAGAATACAGCGAGAGCATGGTCCACTGTGCGTACTCGTTCCCGTCTCGCTTCTCGCCGCCTCGGACCCCTTCGTTCCCCCTCCTCTCTTCCTTCGTTTGGGTCCCCGCTTTTCACCCAATCTTTGGCAGGCTCTCTCGCCAGAGAGTCTCGTCCGCCTCGGCATGGTTGTGACGCTGCGTGCATGTCAAGATTGCTGACTAGAGGAAATCCGCCCGGTCCCTCGTTCCGCCCGCAGACAACGCCTGCGACGTCGTCCGCGTCCGAACCGTCAACTCGCCTCCAGGAAGTACGGTCGGTTTCTCCGCGGGAGCTGGAAAGGAGGGACAGCAGACAGGAGGAGGAACGGGCGGTGGGACGGGTTCGTCCGAGGCGAGTTCTGCGGGCTCAGTAACGCCGGCGAACAGGGAGGGCGAGGCGAAGAAGGAGTGAAGCGCGGAGTGAGGTAAAGAGGATCGCATGTGCGTGAGATACGCTCGCTTTCTGGACTAGCTCCGCCTTACGAGTCGTCGTTCGCAGACACGGAAACCCCCCTCTTCTTCGCCTCCCGCCAGACTTCGCTCCTTCTTCCCTCCCTCTCACCCCGATACCCACCCCGATACACGATACCCCTCGCAACCAGCATCGTCTTCCGCCCCGACTCCGCCGCCAACCGCTACATAGTTGACCACTACTTCCTCCGACCATTCCCGCTTCCTGTCCCCATTCTTTCGGCATAATTTCCCACCTCGCCTCGCGCCTCTCTTTCTCGTCAGCATACTGGGTTTAACGACACCGAAATAGCCCCACCGCGCATATACACGTCTCGCTAGTCGAGCACGTCGCGGATCGCACATTCGGTCAAGCGTCGTCGGGTTACTCTTGCTTCAATCTTGGGTTCTTCTCTCACATTCGTCTCCTTCATTCGGTTTTTCACTTCCTCGCCCACGCGTCTCCTCTCTCGACCGCCAGCCGGAACAGAACGAGGAGTTTCATCGTCCATCTTCATACCGGGTTTCGCAGCGCCTTCTCTCTTATCTTCCTTTCGCCAGGCCGCTGTGGTTTACATATTGCACTCTCTACCCTCCCTCCACTACTCTCCATTCTGTCTCGTCACTGGCTTACCCTCCCTCTCGAGTCCCTTCGTTGCAGAGATTGGCTTTACACTCGTTCGTGCGCCGGATTTGCGGTCTGGCGAGCGCCGAGAGAAGTTAGAACGCTACGCCTCGCGTCTTCCGCGCAAGGAAGGACGGCACAAATTGTCCCCTGGCGTACTCGACGCGTCCGGGGACCAAGATGTCCTCCTCCTCCGCGCTTGCCCTTCGTGCTGCTCGTTTCTCGCTGCGCATTACCCTTCTCTTCTTCCACAGCAGCCGCCAGCTCGAGCAAGCCAACCCGCCCGCCCGCTCGCTCCCTCACGTTCTCCCCACCAGCCTCTTCGCCTTCCGAACTCAGCGTAGAGCCACTGCCTTCTCTCCAGCCAGCCACTACCATGCCAGCGATGGCGGACGGCGACTCTAGTTCTCTCCCAGCTACCGGTGCGCCCTCTCCCCACTGCTTCTCTCCACGCTGAGCAAGAAGAGGGAAGACGATGGGTACGGTGAAGGAACTGCAACTGACGACTGGGCGCGATACGGTGCTGCGTTCGACGGGGCCAGAACTACCGGAACTTTACGGTGCGTTTCTGTGCGCCTCGTTGAGCGGTGTAGGGAGCGAGGAGTGGGGATGGCTGGACGAGGAGGGAGGCTGACTCCACAACCGTCCTTTGTGCTGGATGACAGACTACCTCCTGAAGCTCATCTTGATCGGTACGTCGCGTTCGCTCTTCTCGCTCGAACGAGGAGGCGGAGGACCGAGGAGATGTTGCTGATCGTCTTTCTTCTTACTTCCTCACAGGCGACTCGGGCGTCGGCAAGTCATGCCTGTTGTATCACTTCCTCAATGACCGGAGTACGCTGCCTCTCGCCGCGCCTACCCACGAAAGAGACGCTGACCCGCTCGCAAACCGCAGTTCGGGATCCGTCTCCTCATACCATCGGTCCGCCCACTCCCTCCCTCCATCTCCCGGGACTCGCTGACCTGCTCTTACTGCAGGCGTCGAATTCGCCTCGACCCTGATGCGCCTCCCCTCCTCCATCCCCTCCTCCTCCAGCATCTCCACCTCCGCCTCCCCCTCCTCTCGCCCAGCCGCCTCCAAGACGCTCAAAGTCCAATGCTGGGACTCGGCGGGCCAAGAAAGGTTCAGGAGCGTGACGAGGAATTATTACAGGGGTGCTTGTGGAGCGGTGGTGGTGTTCGATATCACTTCGTGCGTCTCCGTCCGTCTCCCATCGCTTTCCTGCGTGAACTGAGCAGGTTGAGGCACAGTCGACGATCGTTCGAATCCCTTACGAGCTGGTTATCCGACGCCCGCGCACTCGCGTCCCCCGACTTGGAGGTGGTTGTGGTCGGAAACAAGCTGGATCAGGAGGACGACAGGCAGGTGCCGTATCTTGAGGCGAGTCGGTGGGCGCAGGAGCATGGTGAGTCGTCCGTCCGAGCTTTCGAGGGCGGGGAGGGAGAAAGCTGACGTTCGAACGGCGCAGGCGCGCTGTACGTCGAGACATCGAGCAAGACGGGCGAGAACGTCGAGCAGGTGCGCGAGCGAACCTCTTTGATCAGCAGCTATCTCCACTCGAACCTGTTGCTGATGGCTGGTCTGCCTCGGCGTACAGCCCTTCATCCTCCTCGCGCGCGCGATCCTCCTCGCCGTCGAATCTGGCAAACTCGACCCGGACAAGACCGGTTCAGGCGTGTCGTACGGCGAGCGTGCGCTGCGGAGAGTGAGCAGCTGGAATGGGAGTTTGACCGGGGGAGGGAAGGGCGGGTTGTTGGGCGGGAAGTGCTGTTGAGGGTGCGAGGATGGCGCTCTCTCTCGTTCTGCTTCGCCTCCTCCTAATGGTTGTTCCTCTTGCATCGTGTCCTCGTGCTTATTCATCGCCATGTAGCTCCCTTCCTTCGCAAACCGTAGACTGCCGTCAACTCGCCTCGTTTGGCCTCGAGCGAGACAAGAACGAGATCCCGCGGCTGGCTCGCCAAAATCCACTGTACGTATTACCAGCTCAGCACAAGCATCTACAAGCCAGTAGAAGCGAATTGAAGTTGCGAGTTTGCGACTTGGCGAAATCGCGCGAGCTCTCGCGCTCTCGCTCCCACCGCTCACGCTTACACCCGCTCCCCCACTGCTACGCCATGGTCGGAGGGCGACAACGCAAGCCCACAGCACGAGCACTCGACGCAGCCGAGTCGCGCCTGCTCGTCGCCTCTCTCTCGCGCGAGCGCCCACGGGCTGTCGGAGGCCGACCTGCCTCTCCCGCGACTCCCGCGCCGCGCGCGAGTGCGAGCACGAGCACGACAAAGACGACTTATTCGGCTGCTGCTGCGCCGGTCAAGAAGAATGGGCGGGCGCAGAACGCGCGTGGGAAGCAGGCCATCGAGCGCGAGACGGGGATCGCGCAGGAGCAGGTTGACGAGGAGGTCGCGGACGGCACGCTGGAGGGGTCGGCGGGGCTTGGACCCTACGGAGGACAGCAGGACTTGACATTGTGTGCGTGCGAGCTGCTCCTCCGCCTGGTGCTGACGATGCTGACTCGCCGTTGTTTTGGTGCACCCAAACAGACTGCGTCTGCCTCGGATACGACACGGGTGAACAGCCCATGATTCAGTGCGAGCACTGCAGCAACTGGTGCGTCCGACTCCTTGCCTCGTCCCCGGAGTGAGCCGTAAGCTGACCTTCCCCTCCTCTCCGTCTCCGTCCTCGCCTTTCGCCCGCTGCTCTCGCCTGCTTGCTCTGTGCCCTCTCGCTACGCTCAGGTTCCACTTCGGATGCGTCGGCTTGACGGACCAGGTGGCGAGTCAGATCGAGGCGTACTCGTGCGACATGTGCGAGCAGATGGGCATGGGTTCCTCGCGCAGTGAGTTTCTCGTTCCTCTCCCGCCTCTGCTCTCGACAGTTCCGTTCTGTGCGACCCCAGGCTCGTTTCCTGTATGTGGCAGTCTGCGGGCGAGCGCTCGCCGCGGAGGGAGGAGGCGCAAGCCTAGACGTCTGCTTGTCCCGCCGCTCTCGCTCGCCGAGACCGGCCGCGCTCGAGCACACGCCGCTGCCATTGCACGCCGTCGCTACGCCACCTGGGCCACGGCAGCCCCGCCTGCAATCGCACCGCATTGCACCAGCACGCACGCCCCAGCCCTGCCTATCGCACGTAGAGCCCCCGTCCTCACACCACCCCCGTTGCAAAAGGCCGTTGTCCTCCCCTAGTCGACGCCTGTGACACTACTGGTCGAGACTTTGAGGAGCAGCGGGCGAGTCTTAGCCTGGCCTTGGTTGGCAGGCGAGGGCGATGCGGGGGTGGGGGTCGAGCTGGGTGCGAGGCGGGCGGCGAGCGTGGCGATGGGTCGTGTGTAGCAGCTGTAGCAGTACTCGTAGGCGGTTCTGGCGGCGTTCTGAGCGGTTGGGGCGTGGTGGGAGCAGCGAGGTCGCGAGGAAGAGGAGGGGAGACGAGCGCTCGAGGGGAGGCGCGCTGGCTCCGCAACTTGCGACGCGCTCGAACAACTCGCTGACCTTGTTTTCCCATTCTCGCAGTGCTTACTGGCTCATCAACACGCATCGCACCTGTCACGACCTTCTACTCAAAGCGCGGTGACGACGGCGGGCAATACGACGACGAGGACGAGCCGTTTGAGGACGAGGAGGAGGACGAGGGAGAGCCTGAGCCCGAGGACGACGAGGACTTTGAGGAGGACGGCTCGAAGAAGAGGAGCAGGAAGTCGACGGGTGGGAAGGGGATAAGGCGGAAGAAGGAGAGTGCGGAGGAGTCGAGCGACGACTATGACAGCGACGAGGACGACGAGGCGCCCAAGAAGCGCAGGGTGCGTCGCCGTCTCTTCTCTTCTCTCTCGTGATCTCATCTCTGACATTTGTGCGTTTGCAGCGCCCGTCTGCGCCGACCAAGCGCGGCACCGGCTCGCAGCTGGACGTCAAACCTTCCCTGCCTCCGCCAACCTCCGTTCCGCCTTCGGACAAGACTCGCTCGCACGTTGTCAAGCAACTGACGAGCATATTCTCGTCCATCTACGCCGCCGATGCAACCGCCGCCGACTCGGCCAACTCGACCGGCATCGAGATCCGTTCCGCCGCTTTCGCCGAAGAAGTCGAGGGCGAGCTCTTCGAAGGCTACGCCGAGCCGGACGACAAGAACGTCCGCGGCCCGCGTGCCAAGTACAGCGCCAAATTCCGCTCGCTCCACTACAACCTCAAGTCGAACGCGTACCTCCGTTCGCGCGTCGCTGCCAACGAGCTTACCGCCAACAAGCTCGTCAACCTCACCGCCGAAGACTTGCAGACACCCGAACTGCGCGCCATGGCAGAGAGCGTCCGCGCGGCGAGTCTGCGCAACTCGGTCAAGGAGGTTCTTGCGGCTCCGACGGCCAAGCGGACGCACAAGGGTGAGGAGGAGATCGAGAGCGAGGCGAAGTTGATCCTCGAGGCGGAGGAGGCGCAGAAGAACCGCGAAGAGGCGCAGAAGGAGGCGGACCGACACCGGTCCAACTCGGTCGCCGCCGACTCGCCAGGACCGTTCGCCGGTTCTCCCGCCGCCGCCGGCTCGCCCGTCCCTCAGTCTCCCGGCAACCGCGACTCACCTTCCTTCTTCTCGACTGCAACGCCGCGCCACCGCTCGTCACTCGTCCCGGGCGATGCGTCCACCTTCGAGAAACAAGGCTCGCCCGCCCTTCCTGCCGGCTCTCCCAAGCTGGATGAGATAGAGAACGACATGTCGCCTCCGCCGGCTCCAAACAAGCCGCGCGGGAGCACGTCGAGCTTCGACATGTCGTCGATCTGGGGAAAGGTCAAGGCTGCCTCGCCGACGCCAACGGAGGAGCCGAAGGACGGAGACGCCGCTGGTCAGGAGGACAAGGGCGAGGGTGAGGCCAAAGAGGAGAAGGATGAAGACGACGAGGCGGGAGCGCCTATCGACGAGGACTTTGAGGACGACCTGTTCCGCGATCCAGACGCTTCGCCGAAGAAGCGCGCTCCTGCACCTCCGCCTGCGCCCGCATTCGCCGACTTGCCGCCCGTCTGGGCTGGCGACCTCATTGTGCCCGAAGAAGGTGGTGTCCCAGCGTTCGCGATTCAGGTCGGCGGTCGTCCAATCGGCTCGTCGCTCGAAACCTGGACGAAGCTCCTTCCTCGCGGATTGACGACTGCCGGTCGCCTCCCTACCGCCAAGGCGACCAAGTACCTCATCGAGTGCGCGCTGGCGCCGACGCGCGAGCTCATTATTGCCGCGCTCATGCCCGACACGACCGGTCCTTCCGCCGCCTTCCCTCACAAGCCGACCAAGGACTCTTGTCTCGCCAAGCATCAGCACATCGTCGACACGTACCTCAAGCGCGACCGGGTCGGCGTCGTTCAGCCGCCGAAGGAGCTGTCGAAGCTTGTCAAGGACATTTACATCGTCCCGCTGCGGCGAGACGCGTCGGTGCCGGAGTACGTCGAGCTCGTCGATGAGCACTGCCTGCCCGAGAAGCGCAAGCGCAGCGAGGACCTCATCCTCGCCGTCCTCGTCGTGCAAAAGGGTGCCTTGCCAACTGTCAAGCCGCAGCCGACTGCCGTCTCAGCGCCTCCTCCGCCAGTCGTCTCGGCACCGCCAGCAGCATCTCCTCTTCCACCTCCCGCCGCACCATTCGGTGGTTCGCCTGTCCCGCCGCACGGTGTCCACGGCTTCTCCCCTCCTCCGCCCGGCTTCAGCCCGCCTTACCAAACTCAGCCTTACCAGTCTCCGCCACCTCCGCCCGCTGCGCCCGCCGACGCAGGCTTCGACCCAGCCGTCATGCAGTCTCTCCTCTCGCAGGTCGACCCGAACACAATCAACAACTTGCTTGCGAACCCTTCTCTCCTCAACAACCTTCCCGGTTTCGGCGGTTCTTCGGCCACTCAACAGCCGCCGCCTCCGCCGATGCATCAGGGCTACGCACCGCCGCCGCCAGCGATGCACGGATACGCTCCGCCGCCGCCTACGGGCTACGGCTACCCTCCTCCTCCTCCATCTGGACCAGCAGGCCGCGGAGGACCTCCCGTCCACCCTTCGCGGCTCGCCATGATGGGAAACGCGCCGCCTCCGGACGCGCAGTACGGGCAGCAGCACGGAGGAGCGTCGCCAGGAGGATTCGCGCCGCCTGGAGCGCCGAGGGATCAGGGTTGGGGCGCACGACGCGGCGGCGGAGGCGGCTACGGGTATTGAAGGGGAGAAGGGAAGGCTTGTCCGGGTTACTGTCGCGAATTGTTGTGGGAGTCGTCCGCTCTTGTTGGCTCGCTGTAAACAGCCGTTTGTCGAAACTTGGGAATCTCTCGGTTCTTAAATGCCTCGTCGTGGCGACTTGTGTTCGCGCCTGCTGTATCTGCACAGCCAGCAGCAGTGCTGCAGCAAGCAAGTCCAGCGACAAACCTCTTCGACCTCGTCGGAATCTCGACTGGCGCAAACTCCTCCTCCTCTCCTCACCGCTTCATCGCTTCGCCAGCTTCACTGACAGTTGCTGACTGTCCGAAGCAACCACAATCGACGCTTCACGCTGCTCGCCAGCGTCGCAGCCGCCGACTCGCTCTCCTGTCTTTCCGCATGCTCGTCGCGGGCGCACGGCCGCAACGCTCATCAACGAGGACTGATCAGCGCGCCCCTGCCTGGCAGGTGCTTCCCAGGCTAACGAAGGATCCGCTTGACCGCCTGACCGCCCTATCCACCTTAGGGCGCCGAGCCTTGTCGCCAGAATCCTGAGTCGCGGTGTCTTTCCGCCCCCTCGCTCGTCTCCTTCGTCCAAGCCTTGCAACTCCCGACGTCCGTCACTTGCGACCCGAGGGCAATGCACCATGTGCGGTTCAGGCGGAATGGCTTGGCGTGGCCAGATTCAGCCAGTCCTATCGCGTTTGAGCGGACCCTTGCGTGCTTGCGGAGGGTCATTCCGGGGGCAAGTCTTTGTTCCGCGCTGTCTGAGCTTGGTCTGAGCGCGAGCGGAACAACGCTTGTCCGGGCTTCCATAGGTCCACAAGCAGCCTTCGTTGGACGAGCTGGAAGGACCGCAGAAGGCGAGATTTCTCGACTTGGCAGGACTTGGGCTCGTTGTCTCAAGGGACCGTGTTCTGTTTGGGGAGTTTTCGAGCCACCGTCGCTGTCGCGGCGTGCGCAGATCGCTGGACACGCAGCCCTGATTCTCGCGCTTCCGGGGGTCCGGCCGTCAAGCGCTTTCTCACTCCTCCCGCTCCTCCCTCGCCCCTCATCTCGACTCGCTATCGCCCCTGCTGCCTGCGACGACTCGCTCGGCGCCATGTCGGCCACGCCGCTACTCGCCAGCACAACGCCCTCAACGTCCGCCGTCTCCTCGCCCCGGATGTCGCTGGGCGACGACGACAAGTGTACCCCTCTCCTCGGCGCGGCAGCGTCCAAGGAGCGCTACACGCCTGCATTGCCCCCTCTGCCAGCGACAACGAAGCGACCCAGCACCCGCCGCCTCCTCTCGCCTCGCGCCCTCGCAGCCTTTGTCGTTATTGTGGTCGCGCTGGGATGCGGCTTGTACGCAACGCGGTCTTCCCTGGCGGTCCCGCCTGCAGCGGCAGCCTACGTCGACTCTCTCCACGGCATGTTCGGGACAACGCAACGAGTTGCGACACTCGTCGAGCAGATGCATGAGCCGCCCTCCACCGCTTTCGAATCCGACGGCATCTTTGTCCAGGACGCTGCGAAGGGCAATCACACGGTCACTGCCATCCTCATTCACGGCTTGGGCGACTCTGGAGACGGCCGGCCGTTCATCTGGTCGATGCCGCAGGAGTTCCCCTGGGTCCGATGGTGCGTTGGGGGCTCCGCTCATCCGTTTACGACGCGCTAATTAACGGTCGTCTTCCTGGCGGTTCCGCGTCTCGACAGGGTTGCTCCAACGTCCGACTATCTCAACGTGACTGTGCGTGAGGGCAAGAAGACGCGGGCTTGGTTTGACATCCAGTGAGCGGGACTTCCGTCCGTGTGCGAACTGGAGCCTCTCGCAAGAGAGTTTCGCTTCGGCCGATCTCGCTTACTGACCCCTTCTTTGCTCACATAACACTTTTGAAGACGTCTACGAGGACGAGGACGTCAAGGGCTACGTCCACAGCCAGCAGCAGCTCAACCGCCTGATTGACGAGGAGCGGCAGCGGATGGTGACTGCCGGCAAGGAGCCTCGCATTGTCCTCATGGGCTTCTCTCAAGGTCAGTCGACCTCTCGCCCGCAAGCGACGCTGGAAGCTGATGGTCCTCGTGAGCAGGCGGCGCCATGACCCTCCTTTCGACTTTGACCGCCCGCTCCGAGAACCGCATCGAGGCAGCCATTGTTCTCTCGACGTTCCTGCCTATGATTGAGGAGCTCGACGAGGTGCGTTGCCCAACCGTCTGCGAGCCGTGTGTCGAAGACTGACCTCCGCCTCGCTTTCCAGGTCTTCTCGCCCGCTGCTCGCGACACTCCCATCTTGTGGATGCACGGTCGCGAAGATCCGTTCCTTTCGTGCGTCTCTTCAGCGCTCCTCGTTTGCAAGCAACCCTGACGTCGCCTTCTCGCAGGCTCGAAAATGCGGAACTGGGCGTCTCTCGCCTGAGCACCCCGCCTATCAACCTCTCCCGCCTGAAGTTCAAGACCTACGAGGGCTTGATGCACACCTGGACGAACGAGGAGCTCGACGACGTCGCCGACTGGTTCGAGGCGAACGTCCCGGAGCGGCGACAACACTCGGCGCAGGACGCCTTCCACACGCTCTCGCCGGCCGAGCACGAGCAGGAGAAGCACGACGCGGAGGAGAAGATGGAGGTCAAGTGGTTCAAGGCCGAAGCGGAGGTTCCGGCACGACGTCGGTGGAGGAGGAGCATGGTCCCGCGGTCGCTCCGCCGTCACTCGAGGCGACGGGTCGGACCAAAGCGCTTACTCACTGGCGGCGTACTCCCCGGGCAGTTCAGCTTCTGATTATTCTCCGACACGACCAGCGAGACTCGTTGTACCTGCTGTAGCTAGGTTCTTTACGTTTCCATGTTGCCAGATATTAGCGTTGATTCTGTTCTCCAGCATAGCGTCGCACTGAGAGACGCCTGGCATGAGCGAGATGACAGCGTGACGAGGCGTAGAGGATGAGATGGAGATGCCTGATGAGAAGGAGGAGGGAGCTGTCGCGTTGAGGAGGAAGGGAATCTCGTGATCCGCTCCGTACGGCTCTTTCGCCGGCTCGACGAACTGCTCGCCACAGCGTCTAACTTAGGTCGCGGTGAACGAGCGGTCGTGTCGGACAACGATAGGGTCAATCGTCTGGTTCGGCTGCAAGATTCCACCAAGGTCAGTTTCGAGCTGAGGTGAAAGAGACGCAGCTTTAACACGGGCTCGACGCACCGTTTGCTCCCACACAGACTCAACGTCGGGACCTTCGAGGTCTCCGGCGCCGTCCCATCCCCAGCACCAGACTGCGAGCGAAACGGGCGTGGAGAGAGACGTCAGGGAAAGTTGGAAGGCGAGACTGGCACTGTATCATGCGCCTCCTGTCACCCGGTCCTTTTCTGCGCAAATGGCGATGTTAGCGAGGGTCGTCAGGGTTGAGGATGATTGCTGAGCGAAGGAATCGCTCACAGGAACAGGGCGCCGTTGGCTGCCGCAAATCGTGGCAAGGCGGCTGCGTTCAAGGCGTTTGTCAGCATGAAAGAGGAAGAAGGCGTTCTGCACCAATAATAGATAGGAGAGTCTGCGAACGCGAGAGCTCTAGCTGAGAAGGAGCAGGAGGAAAGCGATCCAGCCAGCGTGTGCCAAGGCGTATGGCTCTTCCTGGAGAGGTGTGCAACGAATAGAGCAGCTTTAGCACGCTCGGGCAAGACGCACAAGAGCAGCAGCAAAGCCAGCGGTGCTGCATGGCTTAACGTCTTCGCGCGAGCGTGCAAGCGCCGTCCCCTATGCCCCGAGAGCAAGGACTGACAGCCTACAAGCGAGGTTATTTGTCGCTTCGAGTCAGCAGCGAAACAGAATTATGCTGAACCGCAACTCGATGCCCCAGGCCCTTGGCAATCCATCGCGCCATTCTCCCCAGCAAAGCGGCGTCGCTCGCTCCGCTGCCCAGCGCAAGACCTCATAAAATCCAGCTGCACATATCGAGCGGAAGACTGTCCGTCACGAGCGAGTTGTCGAGTCTGCCGAACCGTCCGTCGCCGCGAAGGGAGATGAGGCGGGGGCGAGTGAGTGTGGCGTTGAGAGGTCTGCGAGGGCGCCTAGAGTAGCATGTAAGGTACACAGAGGCCTGGTGGTGCGCAGCCAGGCGCTCAGAGCGGTTA